ATCTGGTGCCCTCTTCTGGTGTGGAGATATACATGGAAGCAGAATGTTGAATACATAATAAATAAAAATAAAATCTTTAAAAAAAGTGTATAAAAAATAGAAATTAAAAATAATCACTTTAAAAAATGAAAGGGGGACACACTAGAAAGATGGTTCAACAGTAGCACTGGCTACTCTTGCAGAAGACCTGGGTTCAATTCCTAGTCCCCACAAGGTGGCTCACAACCTTAACTTTAACTCCAGTCTCAAAGGATCCAATACTGTCCTATGGTCTCTGTGGCTCTTGTATGCACCTGGTGCACATAAACTCATGTGAGCCCACAGACACATAAAGTAAAATAAGCATAAACAATAATGTACTCTAAATAAAAAAGTAGATGCCTGCCGGGCGTTGGTGGCACACACCTTTAATCCCAGCACTCGGGAGGCAGCGGCAGGCGGGTCTCTGTGAGTTCGAGGCCGGCCTGGTCTCCAGAGGCGAGTGCCAGGATAGGCTCCAAAGCTACACAGAGAAACCGTGACTTGGAAAACCAAAAGAAAAAAAAAAAAAAAAAAAAAAAAAAAAAAAAAAAAAAAAAAAAAGTAGATGCCCAAAAAGCTAAGAGGAAAGAAGACGGCAGGTGGCTCCAGATGTTGTAAAGAGGCAAGAGGCTGTCTGAGGAAGGCCTAAGAGTGCTGGCACTGAAGGGCAAGTCTACCCAAAGCACCCACCCCATCACCCCCTACTATATGGGCCACAGCATCTCAAGAAGCCATTCTCTGTAGTCAGCTGGAAACACCTTCTGCTGCTCATTCACCAGTTCACCTTCCCAAGTGTGGAAGCTGGTCCCCAAGCAAGGGAAGCAGCTGAGACTGCTGGTCCCGAATGAGGAAAGCTGCCATGTAAAAAGGATGTCTCCACAGGAAACCACCTGTATACCTTAGCAGCTCATGTGCTGTCTTCCTGCTGCCTGTGCCATTAAGATGGGTACCTTCTAAGTGCACTATCAAGGGGAAGACCAGACAGACATCTGGTCCACCAGAAGACTTGTACCACCAGTGCCTTCACTCAGACCAACTAGGAGAACAAGCCTCGATGAAATCATTGGCATTTGAGGGCCATGTTCCTCGTCCAAAGTCTGTAGCTCAACTACCAAGCCGAAAAAGGCAAAGGCTGTAGGATTTGGCACTAGACCAAATCAAACAAATACTATACACAAAAGGAAACGCTGGATGGAAGAAACATCAACAAGATCTACAACAAGTCTAAAGGAAGAAAAAAAAGGCCTGGGGAAAAACCAAGGTGTGCAAATCCCACCCAGGAGACAGAGGCAAGTGGATCTCTTGTGAATTCCAAGCTAGTCTAGTCTACACAGAAGTTCCAGGCCAGAGGGCTACACAGTGAGTGTCTCAAAATACAACAACAATGAAGTCTGGAACAAACTGACAAATTCTGAAGATGGGACAGGTCATAGGAGCCTCCAAACTGTGCATAGTAGGGTACACCGAGGCAATGACATTGTGGGCTTGAGGTCAGTCTCAGCTATAATGCAAGACCCTATTTCACAAGAAAACAACAACAACAAAAAACCCGATAATTTGGGATAATTTCCCAGGGTCAGGGACATGACTTGAAACTAGGGGGCTGGAGAGATGGCTCAGTGGTTAAGACTACTGGCTGTTGTTGCAGAGGGCCTGGATTCTGTTCCCAGCACCCATAATATAAGTATCTGTAGCTCTAGTTCCAGGGGATTCAATGTCCTCTGCTGGCCTCTTTGGGCACACATATAGTAAACATATGCATGCAGACCAAACATTCATACACATAAAATTTTTAAAAATTAAAAAAAATTTTTAAGGACTTGAACTATATATTAATATAGCACACCATGTATTTAGGAGTACTGATTCTGAATGACCAACAAGGTAACAGTTTTTTTTAAAATAACCTTGTAACTAAGCAAAAGAATGACTGATAAGAAAGTTATTTATCTGACTTTCATAGCAACATCATTTGCCAGAAGAAAATTAAGCAATACCCAGCTAGATCTCCATTTGTGGGTCGTGTGTAAAAACAAAACAAAATTCTGGTGTGTGTGTGTGTGTGTGTGTGTGTGTGTGTGTGTGTGTGTGTGTGTGTGATGTACTGATGTACTGAACATGTATAGACTTATTACTTCCTAACCAATACAACTTAAGAACCATTCATATGGCACTGACATTGTATTGGGGATGGTAAATAATCTATAGAGCTTTGCAACACAGATCTGTACATAAGATCTATGAATAATGGACACATAGGTTATATGCAACACCAGACATTTAATACAGACCACTGGAACATCCATGCATTCTAGACTCTGGATTGGTGTTAAGCCTCTGAACCAATCCTGAGGGATCACTACTTCTTTTTATTGACAGGATAGCCCAGGATGCTCTCAAACTTGTGATCTTCCTGTCTTAGTCTCTAGAGTGTTGTGGTAACAGGTGTCAAGCTGATTCCACAATAGGATTGAACATCAATAATAAATGAACGGAGAATAGCAACAGCATGGGTTTAAGAGCTACTGGCCTCCTTATAAACTGTCAGGGGCTGGAGAGATGGCTCCTCAGTTAGATCACTGGCTCCTTTTCCAGAGGACCCAGGTTCAATTCCCTGCTTCCACAAGGCAGCCCACAACTACCTATAACAGCAGTTCCAAGGGATCCTATACCCACTTCTGGGCTCTGTGGGCACCATTTATACACATGGTACACATACATAGATGTTGGCAAAACACACACAAGAAATTTTTATTTTTAAAAATCACACTATTTTTAGTAACCATAATGGAGGCCACATCCTTCTCTCTTTTTTTTAAGATTTATTTATTTATTAAGAATACAGCATCCTGCCTCCATGTATGCCTGCACACCAGAACAGGGCACCAAATCTCATTATGGATGGTTGTGAGCCACCATGTGGTTGCTGGGAATTGAACTCAGGACCTCTGGAAGAGGAACCAGTGCTCTTAACCTCTGAGCCATCTCTCCAGCCTGGTCACATCCTTCTGACTGAGCCCCCACACCCAGACAAATGCTGATAACTGGTGGAGTGCTTATGTTTCCCCAGTGTCCACTGTTTGTCATGTTCAAAAGCAAGTGGCACAGGTCAGGATATTCTCTGGGAAGCGAGAACAGGAGGCAGAAACTCAGCATGCAGAAGGTTAAACTTGGTCCCCCAGCCAACCGGCAAACCCCAGGTGAACAGTGTTACACTTTTAAAGGCATGCATTCTCTAAATCAGCATTCTCAACCTGCAGGCCATGATCCCTTGGTGGTCTCACATCAGACATTTACATTACGATTCGTAACAGTAGCAGAATTACAGTTATGAAGTAGCAATGAAAATAATTTTATAGCTGGGGTCACCACACCATGAGGAACTGTATTAAAGGGTCGCAGCATTAGAAAGGTTGAGAACCACTGCTCTAGAACCTTCCTAGATCACTAAGAATGAGCAACAACACAGGAATAACAGTTACCCCTAGCACCCAGACCACAATGTAGAAACATCACTTTCCATTCTAGGAAACCAGGGAGTAATAGGAATGGCCAATCAGAGTCCAGCAGAGATGCCCAACATGAGCCTGAGAACCTTGAACGAATCACAGTAAGGAAGCGAGCAATGAAGACACAGCCATTTCAGGTCTGGGGGAGAAGACTGGGTAGGCTGAGCATGGAGACATGACAGTTTTGAAACTGATCAGATATGCTCAAATTCATTAGTTCAAATAAAGTGAAGGAAAAAAAAAACCCTCATTTTTCTGAGGATGATGGAGAGCTAACCTGTCACCCTGGAAACAGTAAATTGAAGAATCAGGTGCTTAACCACCACCCCCCCCCCCAAACATGGACTACCAGGTAACTGAAAAAGCAAGAGAACAGTACTGGGTAAAATTTGGCTCAAACTCGAAAACAGAACAGAAGCAGCTATGAGAACCACTCTGGGCTCCTTTATGAGTCCTAGCTGTAGGAACAAAGCTTTAATAGCTGTGCAAACCCAGAACCACAAGAGCCTTGCCCCAGGGACTGGACCTACATCAACTATGCCCACAGCTAACCTAGTGGGAACATTTTCTCTACTGACGTTCTCTCTTCCTAAATGACTCTAAGTGTGTGTTTAGTTGACACTGAAAATTGATCCAAGTCAATAATCCTACTTGAGGGAAAGTGCACACTCGGGAGCAGGAAGCATATTCTGAAAGGAGGAAGTGATTGGGAGGCTGAGGCAGGAGGATCACCAGAGCCAAGGAATATCAACACCAGCATGGGCTACCTAGCAAGAAAAGATCTTTTTCCAAACAAACTTTCTGGGGCTAGAAAGATGGCTCGGTGGTTAAGGACACTGACTACTATTACAAAGGACCTGGGTTTAAGCTCCTACATGACAGCTCATGATTTGTTAACTCCAGCTCCAATGTCCTCTTATGGCCAGTGTGGATGCTGCATTTACAGGGGGCACAGGCAAATGCACATAAGCAGAACACCCATAAAGGCTAAAACAAAACCAGACACACCTCTTCAGCAGCAGGAGCTGGACACCAGCCCTTGCTACACTCCCACTGTCCCTAATACTTGCTGTTATTCTACTTTATCTGGACCACTTTTGGCATTTTGCTGCCATGAAGCACACAGTTTATGACACCAGTTTTTCCACTATTTACTTTTTTGGTGGGGGTATTCAGTCAAATGTCATTAATAGAATTATTAGAAAAATCATCTTACTTGCACCCAAATCTTTCCTACAGATATCAACTGTCATGGGGCAGGTTGTCATTGTTATCATCTCCCCAGACAGAAAAGAACATACAACTTGTTGATACAGTGCTTGTAAAGGCTCACCTGTCATTAACCCTTAATGTATAACCCAATGGAGTTAGCATGGCTAGGATGCCTACTTTCTAAGCCCTATACATGTGCGTGCACTCATGCACACAGCACTGAAAGCAAGAAGTGTCATATCACACCCAGGAACTTACCATCACAGTGCAGTCCTCTGAACCGCTGGCAATAACCTGATCATTATGTGGGCACCAGTCTATGTCCAGCACGGGTCCTGTGTGGCCACATACTGTAGGGTAGGATTTGTCAATTCGTCCAGTCTGAAAGAAGAGACAAAACAATAGTGTGACACCGTGATACTGGCACTATCAGCACATACTCATCATCACCACTCCAATTGCTGCCGTCTGTATATGACCAAGTTCGTCTTCCTCAGTGCCAACTAGTAAGAACCATCCATTTTCACTCTACAACAAATACTATTAATGGCACCCCATCACATTACAAGGACCCAAAGTTCTGGAACCAAAATATTTTGTCTGCATTAAAAACAGCAAAGAGAGCCTGGTGGTGGATCTCTGCCCTGGTCTACAGAGTGAGTTCCAGGACAGCCAGGGTCACCCAGAGAAACCCTGTCTTGAAAAAGAAAGAAAGAAGGAAGGAAGGAAGGAAGGAAGGAAGGAAGGAAGGAAGGAAGGAAGGAAGGAAGGAAGGAAGGAAGGAAGGACAGCAAAGAGAATTCATGTCTTTTTATCAAAATACAATTCTATAACAGCCACATTGTTTTACTGGGTTAAGGGGAACCTTTGGTAGTACTTAAAATGTAAAATATAATTCCCTTTTTAAAAATTTATTTAATTCTAAATTATGGGGCCTGTGTGTACAGGAGTGCTGTGCCTGTGGAGGCCAGGGGTGCTGGATGCCCTCTGAGCTGGAGTTATAGGCAGCTATGAGCTGGAAACTGAATTTGGGTTCACTTTGAGAACAGCACAAGCTCTCAGCTGCTGACCCACTTCTCCAGCCCCTGAGTTTAAGAGAACAAGCTCCTGGAGTATACATGGTGACCACTTCAGAAATGACCGACATTGTTTAGTCTAAAAGAAAGCTGGGGTTACTGCACAGGGGCTAAAGGGCAAGGTTGTAACATGTCCATCAACAGAAACCCCAGACAACCTGGTTCACACCAGGCTAGACCTTCCCTCTGGTTTCACAGTCCAATTTACACCAGGCTGGGCCTTCCCACCCAGTTCCACATCCCACTAAGGAGAAGATGTTCAAAGTTACCACAAAGCGCACATGTTACGTGTTAACAAGCCAACCTAACAATGTGGGGCCAATCAAGACAACTACATTATCGTGATCTGGGTAGAATATGTGAAGATGACTTACAACACCTGGGACATAACAAGCACTCAATACAACTTGTCAATGTTATTGGTTCTTCTACACAGTATCTACATTACCCCGCCATTAAGAATTAACCAATACGTGTTATTTGTAAATTTTGACTGACGATACACTATACTGAGTGCTGAAGCTCCACGTGCAAGTAACAACTCTATGCTATGCAAGGGGCATGTGAGTTTGAGAACAGCCTGGGAGAGCGCTTAACACACACACACACACACACACACACACACACACACACACACACGGCCAAGGAAAAAGACAAGTTTCAAAGCAGAAGAGACACAACAGCACAGTCACTGAGTCAGACAGGCAGACAGCACAGAGGATGGTATGAGCAGAGGGTTCACATGAGGAAACCTGGGAACCAAGACATGTGTGAGAAGACAGTCATCTCTCTGGTAACTACGAAACTGTCAGTTAAAATGACGAGGGCAGAGACTGCACAGTGGCTAAGGACCCTTGCTGTTCTTCCTTAAGACTTGTGTTCAGTCCCCAGAACCTGTGCTGGGCAGCTCACAACCACCTGGTACTCCAGCTACAGGGAATCTCACATATTCTTCCAGCCTCCGTGGGCCCCGCCTTTACACACACACACACACACACACACACACACACACACACACACTGTAAACTAAAAATAATGAGGCACCACTTGACATCTATTATGAATAGTATAAATGAAAAAAAGTCTAGAAGTTCTGACAGGAGCTGGAGAGACGGCTCAGCAGTTAAGAGCACTAGTTGCTCTTCCAGAGATTCTGAGTTCAATTCCCAACACCCACATGGCAGCTCATAACTGCCTATAACCCCAGTTTCAGATGATCCAGTACCCTCATACAGACATACATGAAGGCAAAACATCAGTGCACATAAAATAAGAATAAATACATCATTAAAAAAAAAAAAAAAAAAGAGCCGGGCAGTGGTAGTGTACACCTTTAATCCCAGTGCTCGGGAGGCAGAGGCAGGTGTTTCTGTGAGTTCAAGATCAACCTGGTCTACAAAGTGAGTTCCAGGATAACCAGGACTGTTACACAGAGAAACCCTGTCTCAAAAAGAGACAAAAAAGTGCTAACAGGAGGAATGTCTTGTTACACTTCCTCTTGTAATAGCGACAGGTACAGTGCTGACATTGCCCCCAAAGTGTCACTTTCTGAATGATTTTAGTGAGAGAAATGTTCCTGTATTTTATATATGAGCAAGAGTCCCTGCATAGCATTGGCAATAACGGCAAAATACAAGCCATTTTGCTCTTCTCAATCATGGGAACAAGTACTTATGTGAAAGATTCACACCCACAAACATACATATAAAAACCAGAAGTATGTGAGCTTACGTACAGTAGATATGTAACTTTAACACTGCTGGGTTTGCTCAAGGACTGAAAACAATTTAAAATAGAAACCAGTGAGCAGATTTGAGAAGTTGACCCTTCCTGATGAAGAATGGTTTTCCAGCTACAGCTGGTGTACTTTTCTCTCAAGAGAGACATGAAGCCAATATGGCAAAATACTAACATCTGTCCAACCTCATGGCTGAGTATATGAGTATTACATTTTATTTGACACTTCCTATAAAAAATAAGAAAATTCAAGCATATCAATGTAGTGTTACGAGTTTTACATTAAGACTTTAAATCACATTATTTATTTTGTATGTGAACACAAAGTGAGTAATGGCAGCACACATGTGTGGAGGTCAGAGGACAGCTTTTGGGAGTCAGGCCTCTCCTTCCAGCATGTGGGTCTCAAGGACAGAAACTCACGTTGTCAGGCTTGGCAGCAGAAGCCTCCATCCACTGAGCCATTTTACTGGTTGCCATTAATATTTTTTTCCCCCAGAAAAAATTTTTCTGCTAAACTGTCTTACCCCAGGGCTTCTGTATCCCAAGCCCCACTTGGCACTGTGACAGCAAGTATATTGCTGAGTTAGACTCCCCAGAACAACAAGTGGTATGTGGTCTGGGATAAGTGAGGTCACTGACGAGAGTGAGGTGAGCTGGAACTGAACCTGGAGCACTAGCCCTTGCTAACACACAAGCAGACGCTAACTGTCCCAGCTTGAACAGCACCAGCTACAAGTTAGCAGGTAGGTATTCCACGAGTATTCTCTAACCAAGTAAGATCTCCGAGAATAAGCAGCATTTCTGCATTCCCATCTGAGTCACAGAGAGTTCACAGCATCAGAATGCCATGCTGTATTTCCCCCACGAACCTGTCTACTGCTAAAAGGACAATTTCTTTCCTGCCGAAACCAGGGAATGGTGGTGTAATCTTTAACCCCAGCACTCTGGAGGTAAAGGTGAGTGGATCTCTCTGAGTTCAAGGCCAGCCTGGTCTACAGAGCGAGTTACAGGACAGCTAATAGAAACATCAACTAAAACAAACAACAGCAATAGGTAATGGTGACAGCTAATGCTTTTAGGGTGTGAACAAGACCACTGATGATATGGGAACTTAATTATTCCCTTTCTCTAAACAAATGGAGGCACAGTACCCAGGAGGCTGTTATCTATAAGTGTCACTGACCATTCATACAAGGCTGGGATAGGGAAAGAAAATTCCCACCAGAACATGGGCTGTGCAAAGGGTGCAACAGAAGTCTTGCAGTCACTGGCAACTGGCCATCAGAAACATGGAGTTAATAAAAACAAATACTCTGAAAGCAGCTGCTTCCTCTAGCTATGATGCCACCATAAATTCTGCTAACAAATACAGCAGCGTCACACTGCAGCACTGCACAGAGGAAACTGATCACACACAGTGGACAAGCACATGCATGAACAGAGCCAGGGAATGCTTACGGAATGGCAGCTATGCTGTTCTCAGGATTTATAACCTCCAAATATCTTCTTACCTATAACAAAATCAAATTAAAACTGAAGCACAAACACACTTTTTACCAAAGGTTATATAGATACCATTAAGATTGTGACGGTGGGCCCAGCAAGATGGTACAATGGGCAAAGGCACTTGATGCCAAGACTGAGGACCTGAATTCAGTCCCCAGAACCCAAACGGAACTGACTCCCTCCAGCAAGCTGTCTTCTGTATGTGCACTGGATACATCTGTTACTCCCCTCAAAAAACAAGCAAAGAAAATACTGCAGAGTGGGACACTTTGCTCACTGTAACAATGAACTAACTTGTAAGGACAAACAGACATCACTGGGAAAGACACTGAGAGGCTCAGTGCACACGCTCTCATTCACCCAAAGACACATTCACTTGTCCTCCAGTGAGCAACCAAGGAAACTGTGTGGGTCTGCTACAGTTAATTACCCCCAGGGTGCCACAGCTTACCTGCCTCTCAGCAACACATGTAAATAACAGCAAATCTGGAAAGCTTACAAATGTAAAGCCAGTTTCCCAGGGTTTCTCTGTGTAGTTTTGGAGCCTATCCTGGCACTCGCTCTGGAGACCAGGCTGGCCTCAAACTCACAGAGATCTGCCTGCCTCTGCCTCCCGAGTGCTGGGATTAAAGGCGTGCGCCACCAACGCCCGGCCCCAATATCTTTTTCTGACTAAAAAGTGACATTTTAAGGATTTCTCTCTAATTTTCCAATGTTCTATATAGAATGACTTCATTTTACTAATGTTGTTTCATTAAGGGTAGGTCATCTCAGTTGCATCATCTAGACAGCATATTGCTAATTTTCTTTCTAAAGTTTTATTTATTATTAGTGTATTTGTGCATGAGTGGGTGTGCATACCATGGAGGTCAGAGGAAAAGTACTGTACATTCTGGGGACTTAACTCAGGCTCACACAGTAAGCACTCTCACCTGCCATTTTATCCACCCAAATATCAAATATCACCAGTTTTCTCTGCTTGTTTCTCTGAGACAGTGTCTCACAGTGTAGCTGGCTGGCCTGGAGCTCATGGTATCCTGGGCGCGTACGACACCACCC